ATTCATCTATGTTGCAGTTTTGGATCATTGTTACTTAAGATGTAAGTGCCACTCAAAAAGACAACAGTTGAAGCTCCTTCGCCAGGACAACGATTTTCTGGACATTTCGATCCACGAGCATTTTACGAGAGAGCATAAGTCATTGTCCTCAACCTGATGAACGCAGAAGATGTTTGTAAGTGCTGTGGAGAATAAGCGTTGAGCAAATAATCTTGCTGGCGGTATTACGCAAAAGTTGTTCAGTCCAATATTACGGTAGAGTCGTTCCTCCTGCTCATGTGACTACGGTAATTCGGAACATTGTAATGCAACAGACAGAATGGTTGTTCATTGTGTATACACAATCTCAGCTGATTTTTTTACTATCACTGAACGCAGATCAAGTCGGTTGGTTTTACCACAGTTAACAAAATAGAAGCGTGCGGCTTTTTCGGTTTCACACATTCTATGGTTGCAAACTTCCTTACCTTTACCACTTGCCGCCGTTCCACTACTGCCAGCTCCACCTGTTTGTCCTTGACCACCAACTACTTCAGCTGCCCCAGCTGGCCCTTGACCGCTAGCTCCACCAAACCCAGTGAACGCACTGTGGCCAGTAGCACTCGGTTGCCCTTGTCCGGCACTTCCAACCAACCCGCTTTGGGCAAACCTACCAGCAGCAAAGCTACCCGCTCCTGCTCCGTATGATCCACTTGTACCAGCTTGACCAGTGGAACCCGTACCTTTCCATCCAGCTGCAACAATATCATTCGTTCGCTGCCCATAGAACGGAGTAGTACCACCCGGTTTGCTGTAAAAGCATCTTCAACTGAACATTAATTGGGCAAGGAATTTTAATTGTCGAGCTATACTAACGTCGCATGTAGGATGAACGAGATCCGCCAAGAAAAGACTGCTCTGGTCCAGCAGCGCCCCAACCTGAAAAAAAATTAATATATGTTATAATTCCGGTCAATTATTGTTTGTGGTCGAAATGCGTCTAAACAAAGTGATAGGGCTAAGGATCCTTCGCCATTTGTTTACAAATGCCAACAAATTTTAAACGTTTTGATCCACAAACATTTCATCGTCATAGGCTTGACGGAAGGAGGATATGCTTGCAGATGAAAATTGATAGGAGCAGTCGTCATGCGGTTATTTTCGAGCTGTTGTAGTGCTCTGTTGTCCGAAGAATATGACACTTGTCGCGCAATGCGATTTAGTTCATTCTTAATATTAACTCGTACGAATCTTGTTAGTTCTCAATAGCTCAATACAAGCTGATAACATCATTCATAAAAGTGTATTCAAATTGCATGTGTCATCTTTACATTCAACTTGCATCCTAATCCCAAATATCTAACGTTGTCGCATGATTGATATGTACACACCTGAGTTTGCAGCTT